TGCTGGTGTCAGGTGTGCGCATCTCTGATTGCACGGATAGTGAAAGTTTGAGGTCAGAAAAGTGGGACGTGAAACAGACATCCAGAATGGAGTGCTCAACAGATCACCTCTGCTACATACGACTGTAACTGGACAACACATGACGCTGTAGATTAGTGACAGCTACTCAGAGTGGAAAGAATAATACTAAGAAAAACAGCAAATATAAGGGCTAATAACGGAAGGGGAAACCTGTGCCAATCCGCCCGCATGCGTAAAATGCGCCACATGCGTAAAATGCAGAATTCTGGCACGGCGCATTTGGCACAACTTTCAGAAGAACCTGAAGAACCGCAAAGTGTTTAGAATACGACCCAAGTGAACACAGCACATGAATAGTTTCCATAGTAATCGGCTTACTTCGAAAGCTTAAAACACTTTGTGATCACACTCCGAGCACAAACGAGCATGCAATGGAAATAATCTCACCTTCTTCCGGGGCTGCCATTTCATCATATTTGTAACCAAAAATGTGCAGCATCAAAACATCACACAAGCAGAGGAGTGAGAGCGGTGCTAGGTTCAATGCGCCGACAAGTCATATTAGTGGCTCGGCACTTTTCTTCAGTGTTGCAGCATTTTCTCAGCGGAATACAGCGGAATGCGCCAGCGGCAGCCCTTTAATCCAGCGCGTTAACGGCAAACGCAGTCAACTTTTCCTCTTTCCCCCCCGGAAGCGCAGTAATCTGCAGTGAGCTGAAGCAGGGATGCAAGCTGTCCCCTTCAACCTCCCGCAAGTCTGTGCGCCGAGACGTGCAGCACCCAAAGTCGCCACCACACAGCAGTTTTTTATTTTTCTTATTTTTTTCCCCCCACTGAGCTGAAACTCGAGAAAGAAAACTTTCCGTCGCTTTTTTTTTTTTAATGATTACTGTCTCGGTGATGTTATTTTCAGGCGTGCGAAATGGCACTTCAACGCCCAAAGATTTCCAGGCTGTAAGATCTCTAATATGGCAAACTGCAAGGAAAGAGAGTTGGTTTGTAATACAGCACTTCGGGTACTTTGGGGGAGGAAATGTCCCGACAAAACGGCAGTCCGTGTTCACTTTGGATTCCAGAGATGATGCGTAATTCCATAAGATCCCAAGAAGGACGGGCGGAAAAAAAAAGAAGAAAAAAAAAATCACGGGAGTGGAAGTGAGACGGAGCCACAAGGACACAGAGAAGCTCAGAAAGACGGAGGGAGAAAAAAGGAAAACAGATAAATCCTCGGTATTTCAGCCCGAAGAGTTAGAAGGACATCCCGCAAACAGCCACGAAGTGGACTTGAGGACAGTAATGAGTTCCTCTCCGCTCGATAGCGCTTTGCTCAGCTCGGCCATAGGGACCGGGAGTGAGAGGAGGAGTCCGCTGGGTCATAGCGCCGCCTCTTCTCTTTCTCTCACTCTGTCTCTCTCACACACACACACACACACAAACAAACCACATTCGTTCCACTGAACACGATTCCTGCCCAGGAAGTAAAACAGCCCCATAATTACATACATACATTATATATATATATATATATATATATATATATATATATATATATAT